GCATATACTAGTATTGTTCACGTGTAATGTTGTGTCTTTGACACGCTAAACATTAAATGTGAATTACAAAATTACTTGAGATTAAAATCTAATTTCAATATTATTAGGGCTCACCAAAAATATGTTAAAATGATCATTTCAAAACTTTAATTCATAATAAGCTAATCTAACTATGCTTGATCTGTATGGCTTTTTACTTCAATTTACAAATTACAACAGTCTATAACCATCATAAATTGTACAGTTCCTACAACTTTCTGATACACTCAGGAACAAAATACATAAAGTAAAAGCTTTTATCAAGCTATTTAAGTGTCATCTCCTAGTAGTACTCTTCATTAATTTGATCTATTGGGAGAGATTGTTAAAAATTCCATTTAGGATAATGTATTATTATTTTTGCGTTTTACAGTTTTGAACTGGGTTTGATCTCACCTATTTTACATAATAATGTAGTTTAAAATCGATAAAAACAAGAGGGAGCCCTCAATAGCCGCAGTGTTTCAGGCAGGATTAGAGTAAATTAATCTGTGACGCCCCCCCCCCCCCACACACACACACATTTTTTTTATTAGTCATATTTTTATGTGCCAGCAATAACAAGCGTGGCATTTTGGTCGATGAAAAAACCGTAATAACTTAATAAACATTATGACGTATCAATGTTTCAACCACTTTTAATCAATTCATTCTGGTGTTCGACACGAGCGCCGTTTGTTTTATGACCGACAACGTAGGCAAATTAACGTGCAGAATTATACGCGGACTTTTATCTACGTTAAAATACTTTTCTTTTATTTGCGAGCTTTCAGCTCTGTTACCGGCGCCTTCATCGGGCAATAATGTACTTAACAACTCCACGGATAAACGAATTTGTATTGCTCAGTATATTGTTGCCCGATGAAGGAAGGATTCGGTAAGCTGGCCGAAAGCTCGCAACTAAATGAAAAGTATTTAAACGTAGAGAAACGTCCGCGAATAATTCTACAAGCGTCTCGTCACACAGTAAGAAAACGTTACAGTGTAATCATGAATCCATGGGATCAGGAAAGGTCTTTAAACTAGGCAAACTGAACGTAACTAGTTTATTTACCCTTAATGTATTCGATTACGTCTTGAGTAAAAACTGCTGTTTAGCGTAAGTGAAATATCATAATTACTGAATAATCCGTCGATTTTATCCGGTGCAAAAGGTTTCTTTCAGATATGCGCCCCCCCCCCCAGTAGCGCAGCGGTATGTCTGCGGACTTACAACGCTAGAAACCGGGTTTCGATACCCGTGGCGGGCAGAGCACAGATAGCCCATTGTGTAGCTTTGTGTTTAACTTGAAACACACACATACAGATATTCGCGAAACGTTTGCACAAAGGATATCTGCACTGGCCGCCCCTAATTCTGAACTGATAGACTAGAGGGAAGGCAGCTAGTCAACAACACCCATTTGAGTTACAACTCCTGAGTTACTCTAATTAAATTTCACCGTCACTCTAAAATCCAAGGAGCCATAGCGCGGAGCTAGATTTTACAGCAACACAAATCACAGTTCGGACCTAACCACTTGGCCACACCCGGCCCACGTGCAAAACGAGAGTTCCCTCATGGAAGCCAGAGACGTAGCCCTAAATGAATGAGGTGAGAAAAGAGTTACAGATTTTCAATACGGAAATCATTGTTTGTTTGTTTGTTTTTGAATTTCGCGCAAAGCTACACGAGGGCTATCTGCGCTAGCCGTCCCTAATTTAGCAGTGTAAGACTAGAGGGAAGGCAGCTAGTCATCACCACCCACTGCCAACTCTTAGGCTACTTTTTTACCAACGAACAGTGGGGTTGACCGTCATATTATAACGCCCCAACGGGCGAGCATGTTTGGTGGGACGGAGATTCGAACCCGCGACACTCAGATTGCGAGTCAAACGCCCTAACCACCTGGCCATGCCGGACCTTTACCAAGAGCTGACTTGGACTCTACACAAGTTTTTCTGCTTGAGTCGAGAGCAGAATTTTTATACGAGAATACAAAGTCCAATAAGATATCTACCAACCATGTTAATTGTGCACGCTATAATTTAATTATCTTATACAGAAGTCATTAGGTGTAGTCAGTGTGTGATATGTGAATGATAGTGATAGCTATTTCTATCTCATGCATGAAACTTCCTGAACACTGAATAGCTATGGAAAAATTCGTAATAAAACTATCAAATATGTATCATCACCTCTGTTACAAAACCTAGACTCCTGGAGCAACAAAGAAAACTTTGTCGCCATGGTTACCATCACTAGGAAGTCCGAGACTAGATGAGACACATATAGGCACTGAGCGCACGATGTCGGCGGCGTGATGGTATATGACCTTATTATCGTGAAAAGGCCAGAAAATAAGACAGATATTTTCTGATATTAAGCATGTGCTTGGTAATCGGAAGTCTTTGTTTGGGAGGGGGGGGGGTGTATAAAATGACAACAAATTCACAGAAACTAATACATAGTTTAATAGTTTATAGGAATCACTTATCACAGACTAGAAACGTGAGCCTAGAATAATCGATATATTTTTCTTCAATATAAAGACAATTTTGCACTCATACTCGGGAATATGGTTGATATGTATCAACCGAAACGCTGTAAATCAATTGGCATTAAACCATCGGTTGATGCTTAAAACATCTGATGCACCATAGCTTCTACTGCAAGAGTTTGTTCGTTTGTGATTATGCACAAAGCTACACAAGGGCTATCTGTGCTCTGCCCACCACGGGTATCGAAAGCCGGTTTCTAGCGTTGTAAGTCCGCAGACATACCGCTGTGCCACAAATTCCTCTTACACTAATTTGCATATTACGTCTTTCCGTTTATACATATCTTTACATTATACATACGTGTTACAATAAATTTATTTTCCCCAAATTAGGAGTTAACGCACTCAGCTAATTCCTAGTTGCCAAATAACAGGTACTTTGAATTAAAAACTTGAACAGCATCTAAGATTCTGGCCAACCCTAATTTACAAATGCTGATCGGATGGAAGGGTAATAACTGTGCAGCACCCATCGCCAACACAACTAGTCTTAATAAAATGGCGGAATTCAGTGTCAGGTTTATAACGTACCCACAGATGAAAGTGTGCAGCCCGAAACCTTAACTTCTAGAACGCTTGGCCCTCAAAACAAAACAAGTCTCAAACGACTCGAACATTTACTTCAAAGTTCAAAAACCTTTTGGTATTAATTGTACAAAAAATAAAACCTAAACAAAACTTATTCACACAAACAGTTGCTAACAATTTCATAATATATATACATCTATTTATATTTATTTTCGATATTCAGATCACACGAGACTTGCACGTTAAAAGAGAATGGTTAAATATCATAATAAGATAATAGATGAAATATTTCGTTTTATAACGTTATCGGATCAAATAAATTTATTAGCAAGCGTTTTATTTTGCACAACGACAAATAATTTCTAACATCTATTATATATTTTTTCCTATCAGCTACGTTCAACTCGCTAGGTGGCAGTGAAAGTGAGTTTCCTGCCCAGTAAAGAAAACCGTTCAACAGCGCATATCAGTGTCCAATCCATGGTGTTAAATCACTGTTAGTGTGACTAAGGTAAGGAACTGAAAAGTGTAATAACTCAGTTAAAGTATGCTAAATCTGACATATTTCATGTTATACTACTTGTGGATCGCAATAGGTTGAAACAAGCACTTTCAATGGTATGATGTAATTCATGACGTCATTTAACTTTTTACTTATAGCTCAACTCCACAAACAGAGAGACAGAGAGGAAGATAAAACAAAGAGAAAGGGGTGAAGGAGATAAAGAGAGGAGAGAATTGAAGGAGATAAAGAAATAGAGACAAAAAGAAAAGAGAGGTGATGAATATAGTGAGATAGAGACAAAGAGGGAGAGAGATGAAGAAGATAAAGAGATAGAGAGAAGAGAGATGAAGAAGATAATGAGATAAAGACAAAGAGAGAAGAGAGATGAAGAAGATAATGAGATAGAGACAAAGAGAGAAGAGAGATGAAGAAGATAATGAGATAGAGACAAAGAAAGGAGAGATATAAAGAGATATAGACACAGAGAGGAGAAAGATAAAGAGATAGAGAAAAAAGAAGAGAGAGGTGAAGAAGATAAAAGATAGAGACAAAGTGAGGAGAGAGATGGAGGGGATAAAAAGATAGAGACAAATAAACAAATAAAGAGATAGAAACAAAGAAAGAGGGAAATAAACAGATATAGAGATAGAGACAGAGATAGGGAAATAAACAGATATAGAGATAGAGACAGAGATAGGGAAATAAACAGATATATAGATAGAGACAGAGATAGGGAAATAAACAGATATATAGATAGAGACAGAGATAGGGAAATAAACAGATATAGAGATAGAGACATAGATAGGGAAATAAACAGATATGGAGATAATTATTTTAAATGTACGTATACTCACTATTTAGCGCTGTCGTTTAGCTGGTACTCGTTTGACCGCGCGAAACATTCTTGGACACCTGTGTCCATCCACAGCCGTTTAATAGCACACAGTAGCTCTTCAGAAAAGGGTTCTGTATCTTCCATTCGAGCCACTACATCGAAAACCAACTTCGCGTCGGCCTGTTAGAGAGAGAAATGAGAAATCACATGCCGTGGTAACTACGCGGAAGCCTTTAAAAATAAAATTGTACTTATCTAAACCATCAGGAAGTCCAGAATTAACTTTCAGATTTTTTTATCAACCACACTATATGTAAATTTTAAGAAACACTTTGAAAAATATAACAATAAACTACAGGGGTAAAAAAAAGAAACATTATACTGAAAAACAACACAATTACTGTGGGCTAACAAAACAGAACATTAATGTGCTGGCTAATGCATAATCTTTGGGTTGAAATTTCTCCACTATAAACATTCACACACACGTAATAAAAATGCAACTTCACAATACAACAATGTATTTAAATTAACATGACTCTTGAACTGTGTTGTTAGAAAACACGACGTGTAATTATATTGTTGCAATAATAAATGGTGTTATAGTCCCCACAAATCTCTGTGTTTACGAAACATAATTTATGTCCTTGTGGAAGAAAATATTCCTTTGTATCACAAATACAGGGTCTTCAGAAAAAAGACGCTCTATTGTTACTTGTATTTATCTACAAGAAATGCCTTACTTACAGCATTGATTTTGGTGTCAAAGAACGCACGAGGCTTGCGAGGTTTTGACTGTATTGTGTTGCCCTCTAGCCGAAATTACAGCTACTGGGAAGAGCACCAATCAAGTAACACTAGCTGGAGTTCTGGAAAACCTTGGTAGACGTATAGATGTTTTTGGATGTCAATGGTTGTCAGAACTTTAAGTATACATGTGGGCGTGAGCCAAGAATTCTTCTCCAGTAGATATCTGTCACTTGTTGGCGATAAATTCAAACAGTAAAATCCAGTTGACAAGCCGAAATATTTTTCTCTACTTTTATCACAATAGTATCAGTGAATAATTCACTTACGCTGCCTCATGGGTTACTACAGTTGTATCCTTAACTTCCAATAATTGTCTTCTTTTCGTCAAAGTCCACACAGGTGAGTTCAATTAGTTTAGAACACCCTTTGACAAGATAAATTATTCTCCTTATCTCTATCAAACTGTTAATCTCGCTTTAAAATTTCAACCATTAAGGTTATTCACTCTTACAAGGTCTAACTTCACGTTTTCTAACTTTTCTCTCATTGAACTTCTCTTTCACTTGACTTTACTTCTACTCCGCTCCCGCTCGTTTGGTCGCAGCTAGTTATATGTTTATCACTGAGGCCTCTAGAATTTTCTATAGCCTCGACACCAATGAATTGCAAACACAACGTACGGCTCTTTCGGAGTTAGGTAACCAAACTTGTCATAACTATCGCCTTCAAAATAATTGCTTTTAATTCTCTTGTTATAAAAAACTCAACAATCTACTACACACTAATAGGGTTTACTTTTAGAGAAATTCTGCTGACTTACCGAACAAACAGAATGTTTTTGCGCATAGAGAGATAAAACAACAACACACAAAGAATTAGTCAGACCAAAAAACGACCGTTGTGTGATTACCTAAAAACCTTTCACCTGTGGCGGAGACAAGATGTACAAATATTAACACAGGTGTCTTCAAATATTCACAAAAATATTCTAATCAAACATTAGATGTATAAAAATCTCGATCTGAGCTTTTCAAAGTCACATCTCCTTAAAAACGCGACAGTAATAGTTTTATTGATATTTTTGCTGAAGAGTTGAAATATGCAGTGGACTGCTCCTGTTTTGCTTCTTGAGTTGTCCATGTTTTGGTTTCTATGCACGACGCCTTATTTTTAAGTCACTTTATATATATATATATATATAAACACAAACTGATGCATATCTCAGTGAGCTGATAAAATATTTAGATAAATTATTTGATTAAAAAATATAATAAAAGTAGTGAGTAGAATCATAATCGACGTATACATTCTTTCCAAAGTGCTGATATTTCAATCCATTAAAACAATAATCGTTTTACAAAAAGTGACTATAGATGGCGCTGTGAAAATTTATTGACCAACGATTCTTGTTATTTAGAAATTGCCAACAATTTCTACTGTAATTCATCGATTTTTTCCCAAGTTTTTGAGTGCCCAAAGGTATTTCACGATACAAGTTTTAAACTAAGCGTTACCACAAGTTTCTCGAACCTTGTTGGAACCAAAAAATTGGACTTGTCGAGTAATTAGTTGACATTCATTTCCAGTGTTTCATAAAATGATAATACAGAAATCAAATTTTACGTTTTTGTAGCTCTTACATTTAAATAGTTGAGATACGACATTACCAGGAGGCCCGGCATGGCCAGGTGGTTAGGGTACTCGACTCGCAATCGGGTCGCGGGTTCAAATCCCCATCACACCAAACATGCTTGCCCTTTCAGCCGTGGGGCAGAAATCCATTTAAAACAACAACAACAAAAAAAAAAAACCGATTTACTAATTTTGTCCGCCAACTTCGATGGGAAACATATTTGTTTTGGCCTAGCACGTTTCAGAAAGACATGATAGGCCATATATAGGCTATAACTCTTGTACTATGAGCTTTATATGTAAGTAATCCGTATGAATTATGCTTAACATAAATAACCATTCAACGTTTTGGTTACTTCAATTGTTTTAAATAAAATAAACACTTATTTGTAATTGGACTAGTTGTTTCCTAGAGAGGTTACTAATAAGCGAGTACTATAATATAGAAAATAATAAAATCTATAAAGGAACCTGCCAATTACAGGTATTAGTATTTTCAACCTGAACGACACCTTATGTAACACATCGGCTAAACAGACAATTGACAGGCCAATAAGGTTAAAGCATAAGGGTACCTACTTTAGAATTGATGGTTAGAGGGAGGGCAACCCAATCATTAAGTAGCACTCGCCGCCTACACGGCTATTCTTAATTCAGTGCCACAATTATAACACCCCCACAACTGAATGTGCGAAGCGTTCTTGGCGACATATTGCAGCTCGGACTTTGGGCCTCCCGATTCGCAGTGCGACATGTTAACCAACAAGTCACTATAGGTACATGAAGGTTAAACAGATTGGTAACTACCTTATATAGTTCGTTAAAGAATAAAATGATTATAAGCGTCGAGAAGTAACCCTGTTTTACTACACTGGCTTGCATTGCTACTTTTACTGATTTGTATACATTTTTGTGAATAATAAAGATATATTTTACAGGCTCATAACGTGGATGAGAAACAATCAATAAACAGACAATGAACTGCTTTTACTCCACGTTGAGATATATTCACTGCTAGTTTTCGAGCATTTAACTCCATAAATCCTATCTGGCGGTAACTAGTCCAAGTCATGTTATTATCCACCTTTTAAAAATAGACCACAAGTTCCGTGAAGCATTATCGTTTGGTTTGAAACAAATTTCAGATCAACAAATTATGTTTGAGACGATTTTTTTCAGTGTTTTCTTGTGAACTCTAAGAATTTGTTTATATCAATTTTAAAACAAAGATGGCGAGTGGAAAAGGCCACCGAAACGTTTTACTGCTGAGAAAGCAATGAGCGTGTTCAATCAGTTAGATGAAGGAGAGAGTGATGACGATGGCGATTCTGATCTCCAATTTGACTTTCGAAGAGACTCTAGTGATGAAAACGAATCAAAAAAGTAATCGAGACCCAGTTACAGTACTTCTCAGTCAGTTGATCAGAGGAGGGCATTGCCCCAACCAAGACCTAGTGGTGCAAAGAGACCACGAAAGCGAGCTCCAGCTAGATATGATCCACCTCCTAGATTTACATCCACTACCAGAGCCAGAGATAATGATTGGAATGAGGTAGATCTGATCCACCGCCTAGATCTACATCCACTACCAGAGACAGAGATAATGATTGGGATGAGATAGATTTGATCCACCGCCTAGATTTACATCCACTACCAGAGCCAGAGATAATGATTGGAATGAGGTAGATCTGATCCACCTCCTAGATCTACATCCACTGCCAGAGACAGAGATAATGATTGGAATGAGATAGATTTGATCCACCTCCTAGATCTACATCCACTACCAGAGACAGAGATAATGATTGGAATGAGATAGATCTGATCCACCTCCTAGATCTACATCCACTACCAGATCCAGAGATAATGATTAGAATGAGGTAGATCTGATCCACCGCCTAGATCTACATCCACTACCAGAGACAGAGATGATGATTGGAATGAGGTAGATCTGATCCATCGCCTAGATCTACATCCACTACCAGAGACAGAGATGATGATTGGGATGAGGTAGATCTGCAATATATGTTAGCTACAAGTAACGACTGTGAGTTTTTGCCGAAGAACTGGCGTGATCCTGGTGTAACCGCTGACATCACTGATAACTCAACGCCCCTCGACTGTTTAAGAGCTCTGTTTACAGAAGATGTAAGTAACGCTCTCATCACTGCTATCAACGACTACACCAAAGCACAAGTTACAAAGAGAACGCGTGCTCAGAGACGGTCGAGGTATTTGAATTGGACTCCCTTTACCCACTATGAGTTGCTGAAGTTTCTTGCAAAGACAACATAAATGGGCATCGACAAACGACCTAGTATTCAAAACTACTTCGCCACCCACCAGTCCTCTAAGACGAAATGTTCAACAGGGAGATGTTTGAGGCTATTTACCCACCATTGCTTCATGTGGGTACCCGTGGGGGAATAACAAAAATTAAGAAAATTGAAATTTTATGAAGTATGGTGATAATTATTAGGACATCATCAAAATAATTCCGACAGAACGTGCAAAAAATTATAGGTTTAAAGAGTTAATGTAGCCATCGTCTGGCTATATAGAGAGTTTAATTACGACTGAAATAATTGGAACATTAATGGCGCATCTCGTGAAAACATTAGTTTATACATTATTTATGGGGTTTTTGTATCCTATTCAATCACCATATAGTAAAAAATTAATTTAGGAGTGTGAGTAATATAAGAACAGTGGGCCTAATTCATTATTTGATATTATACATCGGATCGAAGGTAAAATTGAAATGAGAATCTGTGACGTAGACTCAAAAAACAAAACAAAAA